AAATATTTTTTTTTTACTTTACTAGGAAGTTTTAAAGAGAGAAGTTATGTATATATTACTTGCTATACAAATGTTAGTCAATGAATGGCGAAGAGAATTGATCATCATTATCAAAATGGTATATGCATAATTTGTTGTATCTATAATATTGAAATCGCAAATACACATATCAAGACGATTACAAACAATTAAAGAAAATATCTATTTCATTGAAATTGACAAATCAAGGTCCAATTCAAATCTAAATTATCAATATCACCGTGGATAAAAAAAGAAATGAGTAATTTGATCGATTTTAAAATTTGTATTTGAGAATCACCTATGAATTTAGAATCTCATGGAGGATTAAGAAATTGATTGAGTTTATGAATTTGTAACTTCAATCTAATGTAGTTATTTGTGAATTTTTTCTCAAACGTTATGTTAAAGGGTAACTTTCGCATATAGCAAACATAAAATTTAAATTTGTATGTTATAGTAAAGTTTGTATAATTGTGCTTCATAACAAACATATACATGTATAATTCGCTATACACATACAACTGAAAGTTATTTCTATTTCGCTATACATATATACAAAGGAAACAATTGTATAATTCGTTGGCTCCTCTTCAATTTTGTATAATTTCGCTGGCAGGGCGTTTGTATAAATTGTTGTTAGTCTCTCATTTATATAAATCGTTGTTAGCCTCTCAATTCAATTGTATGTGTTTGTATATTTGTACAAAATTTGAATTTGTATACAATTGAGTCTGTATACAATTGAATCGAATTGAATAAAACGAGAAAAAGAATCATATACAATTTTAATTTGTATAAAACAAGAAAGAGAGAAAGACAAAAGAGACTTGTGTAGGGCATTATACAATTGAATCTTATAAACGAGAAAGAGAGAAATTAATACAATTTGAATTTGTATAAAACGAGAAAAGATAGAAAGACAAAAGAGACTTGGACAGGGAAATATTTGTATTGTATAATTATAAGTGTATATGACAGAGATAGACGTAATTGCATGTGTATATACAATTTTCTCTTGCTTTATACAAATAGAAACACAATTTATATATTTCTATTGTATAAAGCGAGAGAGAAGAGCGACAGGGAGCGAGTGAGAGAGGGAGAGTGGCGAGCGATAATATGAAGGAGAAAGGCGACTGACAAACAGTTTGCTATGAAATACAAATAAATCAAACGAAACTACTGTATTTGTTTTACATTATTAATTTGTCATTCTATACAATTATCTCTATGATTAAAACCTAGCCCTAGGTGCCCAAAGCTAACTCTGGGCCTTGCGTGTTCTGTGGCCCAAAAAGGTAGATTCAACTTAACAACTATTTCAGTAAAAATTACACTTGGTAGCCATTTTTAAGGCTGATAATACTTAGCAAAAAATAAAAATAATAGCAGTCCATCCAATTAATTAAATTTAAAATAGCATGTGGATGAATACCATATGTATATGATCATGTATATTAGTGTATCATTAATATATCGAATATAAAAAGTAATCAAACAATCTATCTAGCTATCAAGTAAAGATCCCTAAAAATATCATAGCTTAAAGTGCGGTAAATTAATTGAAAACACCACACAAATTTCAGAATTTTTCTTAAGAATTCTAACTTGTACAAGTAAAATTCGTCAATAAATTCAGTTCTATCAATCAATAAAACTAACAAATATAGCTTAATTTTGGGTTTTTCATTTTCAAATTGAAACACCACTCGTTATATTTTTTTTTTATTAAAAGAATGAGAACATTTAATATATAGAATACTCCCATATTTTTCTTTAGTATTGTAATTATAGTTGAGTCTTGAGAATGGAGATACCTCTAACATGCGGGGCAAGAAACTTTTCTTTTTAGTTAATTTTATATAATATTAAAATAGTCAAATCAATAAATTTTAAATATCGTATGAAAAAAAAATATAAAAATATTAGTTAGTTAGTATGTTATGTGTACGATGATTACTCTTTGACTAGTTTGAAGTTTGTTCAGTTCGACAAGTTAAGGTTCATCGTTGAAATAAAAGAAAAGGGGGAGGGGTTGATCACCCTCACACGTTATACACAACATTCTCAAATGATCATTTTGACATGTAAAACATATATAATAACTTCATGCTTGAAATGGTTTAGCTAGTCACAAATTTTATATTAATGATTTGTCACTAAATAGCTCGTAACTAGTTAATATATTATTTTTGATAACTTTATTGTTAGTTCGTAACTAAATAGGATTAACATTAAATATATTTACCTACATAATTTATTTGTTTATTTTTATAGTGGTGTGAACTTGTTCTTAAATGAGTAAGGACGAACTAGTGTTCAAACGGAATCTATATATGCTTGTCAGAATTTTATTTTTTTTGGAATATCACGTGAAATTTAACTTAAAGGACTTATTTATTTTTATTAAAATTTATATGTCTGAATATAAATGCATATTTGAATGATTATAATGTTATTTATAGATATTAACAAGAAACGATTCAATGTTTTGTTTTCCAACAATTGAATGATTACGAGACTGTTTGCTTACTTATAAGCACAATAAATATACAATTAAAATAAAAAAGTAATAATTTAATATAATAAAATAGCACAATTATTTGATAAAAAGTGAATATTCACAAAATTTCATTATTATAAATTGTTCAATTATTTGATTACTCATATATTATGTAAAATGCAATCTTGTATTGTTAATTCATGTCTAAATGAAGGTTATAAATATGTAAAGTCGCATACCCATAATTAATTACCAAAATCGAAGGTTACTAAGTAATAATTAAAGACTAAAAACGTATTATCCCAAATACTAAATTTGGACCGATAAAATTTCCATAGGCCCAAAATCCAATCTAAAATTAAGGAAAAATTATCTAAATATACAATTTATTTTAGTTATATTTCTTAAAATTTCATACTATTTTTTTGGTGTTTTTTACAAAAATCCCTACTCTTTTTAATTTTGGTTACATCACTTTACGCATTTTATGTTGAGTGATACACGGAAATTGAGACACGATATATAAGTTAAGGGATGTATTCAAAATCGGGACACAATGTATCTAGATTTCATGCAGTGGCGGAGCCATGTATTTCAATAAGAAGGTTCAAATTTTTTTTAAAAAATAGACACGCGAAGTAGCCAAAGAGGGTTCGACATCCACGATATACACTTAAAAAATTATTTTAACCACGTATAAATCATATAATTTTCCATCAAAGGAGGGTCTGAATAAACCTTCAATATCATAACGTGGCTCCGCCACTAATTCTACGTAATTATCTCTTTAATACTATGAAATTTGAATATAATTCCCTAAAATAAAAGATATTCAATTATTTCGATCCAAAAATGAGAAAAATTATTTTGACAAAAAATAATACACTACAATTGAGTTTGTTCAAGAACACGAGGCATGCTATTAGCTCATCAATTGGAACTTGCAACTTGCTCTAACTTCAATCCTACTTGAATACCATTTACAAATAGCAAGTACTACAATTTAATTAAATTAATTAATTTTCATCTGGCATTTATTAAGATCATATGGAATATTATTATTTCAAAGAAATATAAAAAATACATTTATATGATGTGTCTTGTATATCCTAAAAAAAATGTTATTATTTCCTCTTGGTTTAAAGAGTGGTCAATATGATTAGCATACAAAAACTAGTTTCAAATTGATTATAAGAGTTTCACGATAAGATTTATGGTCTAAAACTATCCTCCTCGATCCATCCCAGAAAAAGTAAAAAATTTATATTTCTTATATGTAAATTATTGTAAAGTTAATAATCTTCTTATAAAATATTTAATCTCTCATAAGATATTATTCATAGAATCTGATTCAAGAGATTAATAAGTAGCGAAACAAAGTATTTTTTTTATTTTATATATTTTCAGTATATTTGCTACACTGCTTGAAATTTGAGAAATAAATAAATAACGAACACGTTTTCAATCATGTAGTATGACTGAAATGTAGACATACATGAAAAAACTAAAATCATATTTACTCTTCGATAATATATATGAGTTCGTTAGGTACTTAGATTTGTTGGACAAATTGATGTTTTTAGTTTGTTGATCTTTATGATGTATGAAATTTTAAAATAAAATATGATTTAACCTTATTCATTCATTTGTAAGTAAAACAATTCTCAATTAGAAAATGTACTCTTTTTTACATTATTTGTACTGATTAGTATTTTCTCGATATATATGTAAATAAAAAACACCACTAATATATTGAAAAAGAAAGGGAATGTACTTTTTTTTTTCGTCTTCCTTAAAAAAAATTAGATATATAGTTGAGACACTTTCCTAACAAAAAATCTGACTTGATTCGGAATTTTTGATCAAATTAAGTCATTATATAAAATAATTTATCAAAATAATATATCTTTTAAAATTTTTACACAATTAGTATAAACGTATTTCACAGTAACGTTTTAGGGTATATTTCATTTTTTAAAAACTAACAACGCTAGGTTGATATATGTTACTGTAAGTAACATTTTACTCCTAAAATGTTATTTTGAATAACGTTTTAGGAGTAAAACGTTACTGTGAGTAACGTATATCAATTTAACACCGTCAGTTTTTAAAAAATAAAATATACCTTAAAACGTTACTATAAAATACATTTATACTAATTTTGTAAAATTTTAGAAAAACATAATATTTTAATGAATGAATTTATATAATGACTTAGTTTGGTTAATACTTCCTGATTCGTGTCACTAGATTTTGTTCAAGAAGTCAACCATGTAACATCACCATAATATTCCCAATAAACATAATGCAATTTAAGATCATAGAAATATGATCTACGAAATGCAAATATGCAATGCATGGGGTGCTAAAAACTTACAACAATAACAATAACAATAACAATAACATAGACAGTATGATTTCATAAATGAGATCTAAGAGGATAATACGTTATCCCTATATTACGGCGATGGAAAAGTTATTCCCGATAAATCCTCGGCTCATAATCAGATTTCTTACCAAATGCTTGAAGTTGATCACCATATAATTTACAAAGCCTATAGTCAGGAATATAATGAGCTCCCATTTTCTCATAGAAATTAATAGTTTCTTCATTCCAATCAGCCACAAGCCAATCCACCATCCCCATCCCCATTTTCTCAGCTTGCATTGCAACAGTGGAAAACAACAATTTACCAAACTTCATCCCTCTATAACACTTCCTCACAAACATTTGGTCTAAAAACAATCCAGGTTTCTCAAAAAAACCATTGTAGCTAGGATAAACAAGTACATGTCCCGCTACATAAACATCATCATGACCAATAATTTTTGACCTATAACTCTCGAGTTCATGGTCCAATGTTTCTAACGTATTAAAATTGTAATTGTTTTTGATTATAGGGACGAAATTTGTAGTAGTAGTAGTAGTATGAGGGAAAGGGTTGGGAGATATTTCTAAGATTAGGGCTGTTGGAGAGTGAAAAGGTGGATTTTGTGATTTGAATAAGTTGTTGTAAAGTGATGCTTCTGTGGTAGTGAATATTTGTGATAAGCCATGGTATTCTGCCATTTGTGTAACAAGTTTGTGAAGATTAGGGATGTCTAGTTCTGTTGCTAAACGGATTCTGGCTGAAATTTGGTGGTTGAATAATGTTGTGTGTTTTTGTTTGGGTTCAAATGAGTTGATGAGACTACTTGTGGAGTATTCCATGAAGAATGAATTAATACGACGATATATTGTTGTTGGTGTTGGTGTTTGGTGTTTAATTCGGCAAAAGTTTGTTTTGTGATCGATGATACTAGTGGCTACATGGAAAGGGTATTTATAGGAATAATAGTAAAGAAAATTTCATTTGTCTTTTCTTATGATATCATATTATTTTTTTTCCACGTTTTATTTGACGTACAATTCCAAAAGGGATATCCACTTTTTCTTTTTATTTCATAGCTAATTTACAACAATAATAATTCGGCGTAATTCTGTTGGGATATGAAAGGATTGTGTTTATACAAATTTTACTTTTTTTTTAAGAAGATAAAAAAGTTATTTTCAATAAACTTTTCGCTCAAATAAAAAGAAGAAAATAAGGAAATCAAGAAAAATGTTAATTAAAGTATAATAGAACATATACTAAAAAATAGAACAATATATAAATGGAAGAAAATTATGACATTAAATATGACAGGAATGGAATACTACTATGACTACTAATATAAAAAGAATAAATGACAAAATTTAATTTTAAAATTTTCATTTATAGTCATACAAAAATTCAAAACTTATTTAGATCATGTGTTTTATCATTTTGATTGCTTCTTAGGAAGTCATAATTACTCTACGTATTAATATTATGTTTGATAATATTGCTATAGATAAATTTTAGCATATTTTTAACATTCATCTTTCATAGTCTTTTTTTTTTTAGAGGGAATTAAGGCGCTAAAAATTGATTAAAAAGGTGATTAAAATGAGCGTTAACCGACCTTTTCCTGACTATGCATTGAAATGGTTCAACTTTTTCCTAACAATTTAATTTATTTAAAACTTGTAATTACAATAGGTGGCAGAAACAACACATTATATGATATTTTTTTTTTAAAGAAGATCTTAGAAGTAGATATGTAGTTGACTAACAATTCCTACTTTGTTGACAATTTGCAACCTACAAATTGAGAATGTTAAATAAAACCTCCATTTTTCTCAGTATGTTCACAACAATATCAAACAGTAAAAATAGAATTTGTTATAGCCAGAAGTGAATTTAAGATTTTTCGAATATCGGTGTATCAAGTAAAATATATTGAAGTGTGAATTGATCCTTGATATTCAAGATTGAAAGTTCAATATTAATTAATCATGTGAGCAGGGCACTAGTGCATCTTACTAATAATATTTGATCAGATATTTGTTTTGCAGTAAATTTACTGGCAAGATTCAGTTTCTCCCCGATAAAAGGACATTAAAATGGTGTTAGCACATGATTGAATATCCTCGAAGGACCATAATTATGGGTTTATTCTATTCGAGGAATCCAAGACAAAATTGATTGTTTATGAAGATGCAGAATATTTATCTGATCCGCATAAAGCACGATCTCAAACACGCTATTTGTTTTCATGTGGAGGCAAAATAATATCCTGGCGATCAATAAAGCAAATGTTGCTACGCAGAAATAGAAGCCCTCCATGAAGCAAGTCGAAAGTGCGTCTGGTTGAGATAAATGACACACCATATTCAGGAAATGTGTGGTTTTCTTTGAAAAAGAATATACCAACCACAATGTACGAAGATTGGAGACATCATCACAAAAAAATTAAGTGATGTTTTAATCAGGGGAGTATAATACGCGTTGCACTCTTTTTTCCTTGACCGAGTTTTTTTTCCACTGGATTTTCCTGGCAAGGTTTTTAATGAGGCAACAAATAAAGCGTATCAAAAGATGTGTACTCTTTTTCCTTCACTAGAATTTTTTCACAAGGGGTTTTTTCTAGTAAGGTTTTAACGAGGCACAATATCTATGGACATCCAAGGGGAGTGTTATAAATCCATTGAATGAGTGAATAGTCCATAAAGTAAGTACATAAACAACTATCCATATTCACTAGGTTTCATGAATCTTTTTGGATAAGAATGTATCTATTTATTATGATACTTAATATGGTGACTTTTGGAGTGATTTTCTCAACCTATAAATAGGATTGCACTATTATATGTGATACAAATGAGACTTACATACACTTGAATTTGCTTAAAATTTTGAAGTCTTTTCTCTGAGAAAATGATCAAAATGGTCCTTAATATTTTTTAACTTAAAATTTGAAGCATTTTCTTTGAGAAAATCATATAAATGGTCCCTAATATGTGGAAATTGCCTTATTTTGATCCTTAATATATCTTGCATGATCCATATAGTCAATTTGATCTTTTCCCTAAAAGTAAAAAGTCATCAAAATTTTGTGTTAAGTTTAAATCTGAGTTCCACTAAAAAATAAATCCAAAAACTTTCTCGTTCCCCTTCTAAGCCATAGCAGAAAAGTTTTTCCAATTTTTTCCTTCTTCATCTCAATCAAATTTCACTTTCTTAGAAATTCCAAAGAATATATATAAAAAAGTGATTTGTGGCAAAGAATCATTTCCAAATTAAAACTCGTTTTTGCCGCCTCATTTGGCCCCACCTCCTTTCTTAACTACCTTTTTTGTCATCTGGTTTCATTCTTTTCAAATTGAATTTAAAAACAAATAATTTTCCCTAACACAATTCTTAACAAAATATAAGACTCCAAAATTAAAGTCCTACTCCTATTATCTCTGTGTAAATTGACAAGCTTTTCTCTATAAGTTATTTTTTTTGCAATAATTTATTGTTGATTCTTGTGCTTTGAGATGGATAGATTTTTGAAGAAAAATAGTACTTCTCAACCAAGAGTTAGTTTCAGAGACATGGTTTAAGGATTCATTTTCTAGATGGTTGGAGTATAACATGAAAAAAAAGATATTGTATTTTGCTTATGTTTTTAACATTACCCTTCTGCTACTCTTAGCCTTACCCTTGTGACTTATAGGTTTTTAACTAATTTTTTAAATGTGTAAATTTTATTTTTAAAAAATTAAATAGTATAAATTAAAATTTATAATTAAAATTAAAAGTTTAATTCTCGAAATTTGAATGAGGTAATAAGATGAAAAGATAATTTTTTTTTTGTAAGAAAAGATGATCTTCAAGTTTCTAACTTATAATAATTCTTGCAATATATTTTTTAATTTAGGAAAAAGTAAAGTAAAGGCCAATTTAATTAAACCACTTCTAGTATTGAGGATAAATCAGGAGTTAGAAAACATTAATTATAATATAAAAGTTGAGATCTTTAACCAAATCATGTCCCACACGCAATAATTGTTGCAATATATTAATTTGCTCATTAGCCTGTTGGAAATTCATTCTGTCTATCGAAGAAGGGAAAAAGGTCTGATATACTCCTTAACTTTGTCATTTGGAGCCATTTAGGAACTGCTCAAGCATATTAATGGCTTAAGACAAAAATTAAACGGGACTTTAAATTTGAATAGTTAATTACACTTATATAATTGATTTTTTCTAGTTTTCAATTGATAATATAACCATTTTTAATTTAAATTATTTTTCATGAGATATAATACTCTATACATGTCAAATTTCTTCTAATAATTGACACGGGAAATGATAATACCAGAAGATATATCGGCACAGCCAGAAATACCTAAAGTTGAGATACCAAATTTTTATGCAAATAAAAAGACAATTGGGCTATCAACTATAATCCAAGAACTAGCTACAAATTATCTACAAGGAATTGCTATTTGGAGTTATTATTCCAGAGATCATTTAATGATATATGCAAATTCCAAAGAAGTTAGGACAACAGATATGGCAGAAGTACAGAGATGAATATTATCTTTGTTAAAGCCTGAATTACCACCAACAACTAGAGCTTTGAAGCAAGGATTTATTTCGAAAGAATTATTAACCAGATATTGCAAACTGATTGGACATAAGTATCAGGAACATATATGTTCAAAATGCAATGGAGAAGATAACTATGTCCTAGATGACAACTGGAATGAACTAAGAAGAAGAAGATAAAGAAAAAAATAGACGTAAAGAGATATGTACAAATTAGTCAAATTGTATAGTTTTACTTTTTGAGTCATGTAAATTGTCGGCCAAGAAGGCCATTAAAAAAAATAAAATAAAATAAAATAATATATATATAAACACCTTAAAAAAAATTTAAAATATGTACGGCAAGTTTTGGAAATTTAATATTGTATTCAAAATCTTTAATAGTCCATTATATCGTTCAATCTCTCTTCCCGATGGCCTTCGAATTTTTGACGAGAAACAAATAAAGAAAATTAATAGAAAAGGGAATTTGAGAATATTCAGCTATTTTACTTTAGAAAAAAATTATATTGGTAAAACGATTGAAATCTAAAACCTTCATTGAATGAACAATTATTTTTGATCGAAATAACATCACCTTTTTATTTAGCAATGCTAAATCCACACGGTAAGAATATGATGCACTTACCATCAAATACCAATTTTGGAGTCACCATGCCAAGAATGAAGTTTTATTGGATAAAAATATTTGATGATAATGGTATCGCTTGTGCAAAGTTCAAAATTTAAAATTACAGGAAAACAAAAAGACTATACTGAAATCATGTTGTGAAATCAAAAACACAATTTCAAAACTAAGATTTTATCCATCATAGTTCATCATGGTCGTGCAATATTACCCCATCGAACATTAAGGACAATTTCATGAAAATTTTGGATATACTTTGTGTTCTTCCACTCATTGTATGTAATTAAAGAGGCGGACAAAAAATAAAATGAGAACAAATATAGTGCTAGCTTTGGTTTTTAACTGTTAAGAATATGCATCTATATTGTAAAAAATATGCACATGATTATCTTATATATTGATAGTACTATATGTTAATGAGTTTTACTTGTGAACCATGTTGTTGGTTCCTATTGCTATAGTAAAGATGTTGATTACTCTTGTTGATATATTATGTGAAGC